AGTGGTTGCATGGCTAAAAATTAAGGCCCAGGTCTTTTTTACTCTTCTTATCTTATTTCCAGTGCTGGCCTGGTGGTGACAGCAGAACATCATACAATCAGTGTTACAAGGCAATTGCAGAGAGCTACATGCACATAGCCATTAAAGTAAATACATCAAAACGAAATATGTGAAACTGTTCCATTAGCATAACTAACAGCTGAAATGTAACATAACAAATCAACACATATGCTGCAACATTTGGTATCATTCTCAAGCTTGCCTTTTAAGGCTGTACAAAAATTATTCTTGTTTTCATTGGAACACGGTAAAGAGTCAAGCTGCAACCAATCTACAGGGTCTGCTTATGGAAGAGATGCCTCCCAAATTCTGCGCTCACCTTTGGCACAATAAGATAGTCATTCCAAATACTCCTAAGAGAATGTGGATCAGATTCACACAACACATCGTCATATGTATTTTTCTATTTATTACAGAAAGAAACATCCAGAGTATTCTGTATGCGTTCTGCCTGCTTCCTGTTAGAAACAAGAGCAAACGGATTGCTGTGTATCTGCTACTTATTGTTTCATTTCATAGGCTTTTTCATCTCAGCTTTATGACAGAGTAAGAAAATGCATTCCAAAGTGTATATTCAGTCATCCAGGGAAAAAAAATACAGTGAGAATGAAATCTGATGGATAAGAAAAAGGATGAGTACTGATAATCATCCAGGAACTTATATGGTTGTTCACTATAAACATATGCACAGGAGTGCAAAATAAATTGGGAAGGAAAAGCAATAAAGAAACACATATTGTAGTTTTTGATTAAAAAATAGTTATTTAAAGCTAAAAAGCCATAATAAAGTTATGGGAAGTACAGTATTTTCACACTAGAATCAATTTAGATAAAGGGAGTTACTATTACTGTGAACTTTTAGGGTCAGACACAAGATTTATGTTAGTGGGAAGTGATGATGGGGGTTAAGGCAATTTAGCCTTTACATTTAAGACCAATCAGTGCATTGTATTCTTCCATCATATGATTCTGTCAAGCAGCTGCAAAAGCCCCTCATTTAGATCAGAGCAATATCCATGCCTTTGGGCAGCAGTACAAAACACTTGGACTTAAATATTTTTTATGTTTCTTTCTTTACTCTAGTCATTCTAAGATTGCTTACTGAAACCTTCTCATCTGGGATGAACTCAAACCAAAACCCAAGGCCTGTACAATCCCTTATTTGGATTTGGAAAGTCATAAATGAGGCCAAAGTCTTAATCTGAATTTCCTAAGCATTTCATATCTTCAGATTTGTGCCATTATAAGTGATTTTAAGATGCAAACTCTGACCAAATTTCCAGATAAGGTTTTGGGTTCAATCTATTGCTTGTTCTAATACATTTATAGGAAAATGTATAGCTGGCAGGTAGGGAAATTCTTTGTGTTTTACAAAAGGAACAAAACATTGAATAAATTAAGTATGATGTGCACTTGATGTCACATGCTTAAGATTTTTGTATGAATTTGATAACCGTTAAGTTCATTTAATGTATTTTTTTTCCTCTTGATACTTTAGGAGATTGGCCAATGCAACAGTTTCACTATTCTACTGAGATTCAGAAAACCACAAGACTTCCATGACATGGGAGTCAAAAAAGTCTATGAATATTCCTTTTTAAAGGATAAAATGTATTTGCCCTCTATATCTTGCTAACTTCATTGCCCAGTGTTGAAGGCTGTGAACACAGACACTTCTCCTCCTTTTTTGGCATGTCTAGAACTCTTCACAGGTGGTTTTCCTGCAGTCCTTGCATTCATATCAGTGCAGATCTACAGATGCCCCTGAACCCTCAGCAAGGGACACAGGGATGAAAGCTCCTTCTCATTTCTCCCCTATTTACAAGTGCGTGCATCCACTTTGTCACTTTGTGATGCTATCTTTTTACTTGGTGGCTCAAATTCCATAGCAATGGATTCCTACAAGAATTTAAGCAAAAAGATGGTATCATGCCAAATCCTCAGACACTGTAAATCTATATCCTTTAAAAGGGAAGCAGCCATCTTCATTACAGCACTGAGGGTCTGGTCCTTTGAGTTTGGAAACCTGCACTCCTATAGCTAGCTTAACCACCTCTAAATCTCTGCTTCACATGTATTACCAGCCCTAACTATTGTTTCTGGGAAAAAAAAAGTCTGTCTTTACTATGCTCCAGTTTTGCTTGTGAAATTATACAGGACTGGGGACAGTTCTGCAGGTAGAGCAGCCTGCAAAGGCAGTCCCTAATATGGCAATATATAATGACACTGTTTATGTCAGCAGATTTGACAATAGTTCTTGGCCAAAGCTTCCTTAGTCTGGGCAATTTCTAATTCTGTAGGCTGATATTTTTTGTCAACTCTGAAGGAGAGTAGCAAATATACTCAAGTTAACCTATTTCATACAAAATCATGGGGGAAAGAAGACTTCTGCCCAAGAAACTTGTGGAGTGATTGTTTCGATTTTATTCTTAAAACTGTGCTAAAAGTGATCAACCATTTAAGGAACTAGATTAAATATGTGTTAAAATATTGAGGACCTATTTTGGACCCTTTTTGCCAATTTACAGATCCCTTATGTGGTTTTATGAGTCATAACAGGTGGAGCAATGTAGCCCTAATGACGAATAAAATGGTTAACCCCTCTTTAAAAAGTCTATTTTTAAAGACACCACATCTTTATATCATTGGACTGGTCCGTTCTAATTTGGCTATTTTATATGTTAAATGTTTTGGATCAGATTAGAACATGATGTAACTTAAACTTTACTAGTGTTAGGGTTCTTCAAAATAACTTTCAACTTTTGAAATCACTATGAATCTAATTAATGCTGTCTCTGTTACATTTAAATTTATTTGAGGATTTACTGAGAAGGGCATAATTTAGGATAAAAGAGGTCTTGTTCTTCAGCTAGGACTCTTCCTGTGGATGTCCTCATTCTTTGACCTTACCTTTACACCTGGGACTCTTTATTGCACTGGTGTTGTGGGCCACAATAGCCAGAAACCATTTTTGTTTTCAATGATTATATCTATGTAGAAGGGGGGTGGAATCCTGCATAGACCGTAAATAGAGTAATGATAACAAGTTCTAACTGGAGGATGGATGTCAGCCATTGTAGCCCTGTATTGCTCAGTGACCTGATATCAGGACAGTCTAAAGGGTCTGTTTCAAATTGTTAAGGTTCAAAATAATGGGGATGTAGCCTGGTACTGTTGCTGTTTGAAAGAGAGAGTCTAATAAATCAGAATATTTCATTTAAAATAAAGAAAGATATAATTATTTCATGTACTCATTCTCCCACTGTGCTTGAAATCTAAACACAGCAATGTTTTATTACTGCTTGAATGCAGAGTAAAGGTATTATTTTCTTCTTTTCTACTGCTTTGTACATCTGCTAGTTGCAGCTGGATTTTAGCAACATAAAGAAAATGAGAATTATCAGAAACCTCTGTTCTTCATTGTCAAAACTATATGATAATAAATAGTGAAAATGGGCTCCTCAGTGCCATCCTAGGGAGAAATTTGAAAATTTGAAAATTAGTTAGACAATATGAAGAAGGGAAAACATTTATATGAAATTTATCAAGGCAGCATCTTTTTTGACTTGAGTTCCTAGCTGCAGTCAGAATCATGGTGTATTAGAAAGATATTCTGGAATATCTCTTCCAAGATATTCATGGAAGAAAGTGTTTTTTCTCTGAGTTTTCAGCATTCTTTTTCATAGCAATTTATGAAACATTTAAAAAACAGGAATTTGACTTAGGGGACTATTTAGAAAAAAAATCATTTGAAATAAATAAAAAAAATTACTCTGTGCTTCAAGAATGAGCCACTAGTGAGAAGGAAACATTCTCCAGGTTCAGCTTTCTTCTGTTTGTACGTGTTGAATGGGAAACTCGGTGTGCTTCATAAAAAAAGCATATTGTAATCTTTGCTTTGGTAAGGATTTAGACCTCAGTTGTGCAGTGGTATCTCCTGTTATGGATCCTGTACCATGATGGAGTCTCACCACTGTCAAGGACCTGTGCAAGAAAATCTCCACACAGAATGAAATCTTATAATTTTTCATTAATTTTAACCTTAAATTTACAATTTCCACCTATTCACTCCTTCAAAAGTTGGCCCAGGACATATTCTGCAAAACAGCAGTGCGACTTCATGAAGAGTGCAGTTGCTGTAACGATTGTGATTATCCGTATCTAACTAAGAATCAGCCAAATAACTGCAAGCAAAAATTACATTAAGCATTATTTTGTGACCTAAACATTTTAACAAGTAGGAGCAATAACTGAATTTTGGACAAAATAGTAATATTGGTAAAAACAAGGCAGGTTTAATTAGATATATGTTCAGAATATACAGCAGGGCAGTGGGGTATAAATATGCGTTAATTCTCTCCTTCAGTTGACCGTGACCACTGGAATGGATGATGGCTAAGAAACAATTTTCTTCTGTTTTATTGTAGTTCCTTTATGCAACTTACATTGCCCCATCTGCCAGTATGGACATTGGACTTCATCAGAGTAAGAAAAACATCATTTATCAGAAAATTGACCCAGCATTTGAGGATCTTTTTGACCCAGCAGAAGAATATATCCTCACTGTTCTGCTAGAACCGTGGATGAAGATGGTGGAAGCAGACAAATACACTTATGGAAAGGTAACTGATCTAGATGACACCATGACAAATTCTTAGGTCAGGGAAGAAAATCACAAGAGCCTTCATATGCAACTCTGTTACATTTATAGTCAGGAAAGGAGAAGTATTATAGGATGTTTTGCTCACCTGCTCCTTTCTATGCTAATGCGTGGAGTAGGCTGAGCTTCCTGTGGAGAGCAGACTTCCCATCCAAAAGGAAGGTGCAGGCTTCATAGACCCCTTGGTCTGTGAATTGGGGAGGGACACATCTTGCTATGGCAAAATTTCTCTTTGCACTCAGGAACTGTCATGTTTCTGCAATCTTAGCTTTGATCAAAAGTAATTTTCTTACGATGGTTTGCCCACAAGCCTTCTACGTTTTTAATGATAAGCACAAAATAAGCTGTGTTTCTACAGTGTCAGTACAGTGATGCTAAATCCATATTAACTGTATCGAGTATTTCTTGGTGTTTAGAACTAAAGTGCAGCTACTACTTAGCATAAGAGGAAATGTGATATGGTGATCCAGCTGTATTTGCCTCAAACACTTTTTAGATAGCTGCCCTGGTGTGTAAGGGCTAACGGTGCCCTGCAGGCTTCCTGAAGTAGGTGACTCAATGGCTACTCAGTTCTAATCCCGGAAAGCCTCTGAAGGCTTGAGTTGAGCAGGTTTATCCAGGTCAGAGGAGATGGCTGCAATCCTGACTCGGCTTTTGACAAATAATAATAAGAAATGGTGGAGGCAGTGGTAGATGCTGTGGCGCTCTGCTCTTTGTAAACTTAACTACAAGTTACCAGCTGTAGGTCCAACTTCTGCTTCCAAGTCTTCAACATCTCTCTCTCGGATGTGGACAGAGAAGTTTACAGTGGGTAATCAGGAGTTGGAGGGCGGGAAGTTAGTTCTCGTTTCTGTTTTTCTCTACTATGACCTTAGATGAAGCATCTCAGTTTTTACAGGAAATATCATCACTTACTGCTGATACTTCCATCAGCATGTAATGAGAAGATGCATGCATTGCCCCCTACAAAATGTTTTGAAATCTTTTTGTGGAAGTTTTGTAGTACAGTGTATTTTTGTTACTATATTGTGCATCCATGTATGAACAACGAGGAGAACAGCTACCTAAAATCAAAATTGAGAATGATCTTCTAAGCCTGTTAGGTGGTGGCTAGTATTAAAAATTTAAGGATAAAGTATAAGAACAGAAAAAACCCATAAAGCAGTATTGCCAGCTTCAGCACTTTGCAGCTGAGGGGGTTCATGAAACAGGGGTCTTATCCACATTTTTGTGTTTAATAGTCTTTGATGAGGTGTTTTTTTTTTCCCCATGGGTTTATGTAAATGTGTCTTGAGTCATTTTATATGTTCAGCCTCACTGTAGCAGTGGGTTCCATGGTTTAATCATGCAATAGGAGAAAAAAATGCTTATCTTGGTTTGTTTGCAAAGCACTCCCTGAAAATTTCACCTGTTGCCCTAGTTTTGTATGCCATGGGGAACAGTGAACAATTGTTATCTTCTCACATTCTCAATGTTGTTATGCTTTTATATGTTTCTGCTGTATCCCACTTCAATTACATCTCTTTGAAACTCAAGAACTAGACTATTCGACCTCTCCTCTTACAGGAGGCATTCCATACCTTTGTTACACTTATCACCCCCATCTGTACCTGTTATTTTATATTATTTTGATGAGATGCAAGCAGTACTCAAGATCTGGCTGCACTAAGGATTATCCAGTGGCAGAATGATGTTTTCTGTTTTGATCTTTGTTCCTTTCCTAATTGTTCCTATGATTCTTATTGCCTTTTGACTCCTGGTGAACTTTGAGTGGATGTGCAAAATGTAAGCTAATAGCCATCTGCAATGATTCCAAGATCTCTTTACTAAGTAATAACAACTAATAGAAAGCCCTAATTTGGAGCTCACTGGAATGACTTCATGTTTATTGTCGTTGAATTCAGCTGCCCTTTTATCATGCAGATGCTAAAATGTCCTGGAATCCTGCAGCTTTTCACAGTCAATTTAACTTTTTGCTCGTGGAATCATTTTGCGAACTTTGTGGTCTCCTCACTCACCTCCTTTTCCAGATAATTTCTGAATGTTTAAAAAACCAACCTCAGCGCAGATCCCTGTGAGACTCCAATAGGAACCCCACCCCATAACAAAAGTTATTTATTTCTTTACTTTTTATTTTCTACCTTCTAATTAATTCACAAGGGGACCTTCCCTCTCATCCTGTGATAATTTAAATTCCTTAAGAAACTTTTAAAGTTTGGACATTGAAAAAAAATTACTAAAATGAAATATACTAATCCAAACACATCTGCAAAATATTCTCTTTGCTTTTCAGCATCTTTTCTAAGCTTTCAGATAAATTATTTTTTCTAAGCTATTTCAGCTATAAGTTTATGACCTGCAGAATACTGTGTAATTGATTGATGTTTCCATTAATCTGAAATTTTATTTCCTTTCTATCAGACTACTTTTACAGTCTTTTGTAAATGTATATTTCCCATGTGTATTATCAATGCTAGTTGTCTAGTATCTATTGCCAGTCCTCGCTGAGTCAAGTCACCGACTCAGCCGAGTATTATTATACATAGTTTTTGTATAAAAAGGACTCTGCTTTTGAGCACTCTCTGAATAAAGTGTTTTCACTGCTTCTAGGGATGGAAGAATTCCTCCAAAGTAAGAACGGAAAATGTGAACTTTTGTTTTAAGTTAATGCCTGTGTGAGTTTATATCACCTTGAGTTAACCGAGGGATAATCTATTGCCCTTTCAGTTTAGATGACGCTTTGCTTTGCAAGTGTAGTTACGTGCAGACTTCTCAGTGCCCTAATAGCAGAAACATCTTAATCAGAGCACGAAAAACCAGAACTAAATCCTTTTGAGTGCACAATACATGCGTTTGTGAAGAGTTATAATACACAGACATAAAACGACCTGTTCTAGGAGGCACCAGAGTCTCTTTGTACTAGGCGCAGGCTGATGCTTAAGCACACTCCTTCCTAGCACAAAGACAAGGTCTGCTTTGTATTTTGTTCAGACCCTGGCTCTACTCTTCCCCTTTGTTCTACCATACAGCAGGATATATTTGGCCCATAATGAAACAAGATATTTTATCAAGAATTAGGTGAGTCCAAAATTGTTTATTTGGGACATGGTCAGTATGTATCTACATTTTTATCTTTAAACGAAACATGAAAACAGGAGAGTTCCTTTTTATTGCTGATCCTCATCCTGCCTCTATCTGCTTTCTGTTTAAACTTTCTGAAAAATGTTCTGAATGATTTCCCTATTTACTTTCAAACTACTTTTTTTCTTTTAAAGGCAAGAATACCCAAAAGCACTTTATAACAGTGGAATAGAGTTACGCTGAGCCTGAAGGCATTTGGATAACACGGTGATTAGTGTGGTATTCACATTTAGACAAAAACGTAATGAATATTAATCTAAAAACTTTCTTCTCTCTCTTGCACATAAACTCTTGTATAATAAGACCACAGCTTTCTAATCTTTGTAATGGGCATGCTAATCAGTATAACACATTGGCTCAATTTTGCTAAATATCCTAAAACCTGCACTTGAATGATTTAGTCAGCCAAGAGAGTCACCAAGCTGTTCGTCATGCAGTTACCGATTGTTTGCAGGTAACATGGAGAACTGCTCTAGTTATATACATAAGGCTTCTAATTAAGTTAAAAAATGCCAGGACTTCATGAGTTCTAATCATGCACAATTTATTATTTTAAGGCATTACCTGGTATAAAACTAAGGAAGGGGACAAGACTGAAAGTCTGAAAGCTTTCACCTTCCTGTTTAGATATTATAGCATCTTTCTTATCTTAAATTTCCATTTCTGGAAATCTGTGGCACTCTGTCTTTTTGACATTTCCCACTGAGATTAGTAGTTTTAAGACCTGTTTTTCTGCTTCTCAGTGCCACTTTGACATACAATTTGCTGGTATAGGCAATCAGGTAAGTCTAACACAATATACACAATATAATACATACACAATACACACAATATATTATATACACAATATAATTTAACAATTTTTAACAGTTCTTTTTTTTTTTAAAGATATAGTTGGGATATTTAGTGGTGTTCTGTAGAAATCTACACGTGATCCTACATAGATATGAAAATTTTGTTCTACCAGAGCTTTTGATTGAATTGTTTGTCACAAGGATGTGACTTCTAGTGTCTTCTAAACATCAGTCTCATTAGTGGCAAACATATCCTTTTCTATCCACTGTCACTGGCAAGGTGCCCGTCCAATTCTCCATCTTTCTATAATGTGTACTGTAGGGATGACATAAGATATTTTTATTAGGTGGAGTTGGTGGAAGAAACTCGACAGCTGGACTCCGTGTACTTTAGAAAGCTCCAGACTTTGCATCAAGAGAATGATTCCAAGAAGGATGAGGTAAGACAAGTACCTACTAACAAAAACAAACTCTTTTTCTATCAGAGAGGGTTAACACTTTGAGTATCAGCAATGAAAGACTGACTACATGCCAGTTCGGAGAAGCTAGTCTGATTTCTACCATTCATTTTGGGGAATGATTGACAGCCATTGTGTTACTTACAAACACAGGTCCTCTGTCAGTTACATCAACATCAGAACATTGTATGATTGGAGTCGATGAGACAGTTTCCACTAAAGTCTGTGGAATTAATTTTGGGCCCTTAATCTTGAGTATATACTTCAATTTCAAGTAAATTACAGGCATATATTGGTTTACTTGATCATGGAACCTGCACTCACCTATATGTTTAAAACAAACATAAAACTAAAGCTGAATAAGAGCTGGAGCCCTAATTCAATTTATTTTCTCAGCAATTTAAAAGCTGTTCTACAGAGTCAGAAGTTATCTAATGCAAGGATTACTAAACAGCAAAATATAGAGATGAAAAAAGCAGTTATGCAAGTGAAATAATTTCTTCCCTCAGAGTACTGGTGCTGACACTGGTCTGCCATCCTGTCCTAATGCTCTCAAAGATCAGCACTTGCGTCAAGTTCCCAAAGAATTGGCAGGTCCTAATCTATCTGACCTGATCCACAACAAAGAGAAGTTAGAACAATTCCGGGCTTTTCTTAATGAGCGTTCTGCTGGGTATGTTTCTTCATTATTATTATTTTACCTACTTCTAAGTTCAGGAGAAATCTTTGCTGGGGATCTTGGCTATCTAAATGTTCACAGATTTTAGTCTTTTTTAAAAATGTGTTTGTATATTTATGAAATACACATGCACATTGTTCAGACAACTGAATTGTCTTAACATTTTTGGGGTAAAAATTCTCCTGTCATAACATGTTTGTATTACAGTTCTGCTTTCATTTTCTGCTTTGATTAGTGGCAAACCCCTGAGTAGAGCAATTAGCCTGTAACAAGTAAAAGTTTCTTTTTTTTTTTAGCACAGATTCAATTTAGTACATTTTAAAAATTAAAGCTGGATGTTATAAAAATGTACAAATAGAAGACAGCCATGTTATTCTCACAGTGTGTTTGCACTGATCTGAACAGCATTAAGTACCAACTTGTAGCAGATACAGTTTATGCAGGGTTTTTGAAAAAGCAAGCCCATTTGTTTAAAAATGAAGATCTAAAGAGAAGTTCTAGCAGAAGAAAATGTGAGTTGTCACCTTTTTTTTTTTCCCCCCCCAAGCCTCGCACTCATTTCTATCCTATTTTAGGAAAGGGCAAATATACTTTTTAAGTAACTGCTAGCAAGTTCTTAAATTGTCACTTCCTTCCTCTAACCTGGGTTCCCATGAGCTGACGCTTTGTATATTGTCCCTTGTTTCTAGTCAAGCACTGCTATCATTTTAGATTGGATATCAGTCAGCTTTTTCAAAAGTGTCCAGAGATGGACATCTAGCACAGGATTCCTCTGGGCAAGATTCAATGTCATCACTTCTGCTTACCATCTTAGGTTCCCTTTGTAGTCAGAGACAGAAATACACACATTCTGGACACAATTCTTCTAATTCTGAAGGTAATATCTAAAACTAGTTTGGATGGATCATTCCTAAAGATGGCTATTTCTGCTCACTGACTACAAAAAGACTGTAGGTAATGAGTTCAGAATGAGATTCTTATGCTGTGGTTATCTATGGTCAAGTGACTTCTGAGTTAGTTGTCTAGACCAGTGGTCTCCAAACTTTTTTCATCGTGCACCCCATCAGTAAAATTTTCTTAGCATGCACCCTAATATATTTATTTTTCTGTAAATTATATACATGTGCTACTGAAGTTCTAGTATTTTTTTCCTGCCCTCCAATGAATCATTTTGCACATCCCCTGGGGGTCTCCCCACTTCGGAGACCACCGGTCTAGCCTTCCTCTCTAACTGGGGAAACGGCAGGAATTGCCAGAGAACAGGTCACTGGCTAGGGTGGGGTCCTGGACAGGCACGCTGAATTGCCTCTGGGACTTCCTGCCTCTCTGTTAATCACAGACAAACCCCATCTTAAGTGATAGAGCCAGGCAGAGAAAAGTTTAGTTATGGAGAAATTTTCTTTTGTAAAAATTCATAATGAAGAAAAACATTTGAAAGAGTCTCACAAAACAGTGTTTTAGAGCTGGGTCCAGACCTAGTAACTCTGAAGTCCAGCTGGCATGCTACAGTAAAGATGCTTAACGGTACTATAAGCTGAAGGGATCCTAGAACTAATGCAGTTTGGAAAATTTCAGCAAAACCCAACAAATGTGTCATTTGCCTCTTCATCAAAATTTATGGTTCTGTTATTGCCCAATTGTAAGTGATCCAAGTTTCAGGAAGGACAAGCTGCTGAGTACCTGGGCACAAATTCTGGTAAGAATCTAAAGACAGTTCCGCTAATTAATATTTTGTTAAATATATAGGATATATTCACACAATTGCAGGACAATTTGTGTTACTTTGGGTTAGTGGGTTACCACTTGTTAGTCTTGCCAGGCTAACCGCCTATGCACATGCTCCTGATCTGTTGAAAGGAAAAAGTAGAGTATGCTAGGATAAGCCACACTGTAAACGGTTTAACCTAACACACTTTAGGATTATGTATTTTGCTTTTAAAATGATAGACATATTTGATCGGTTGTCATAGGTAGATGCCAAGGAGTAACTCCATAAACCACAGTAACTTGGATCGCTTGCATTTAGGTGAATTTATTTACGTTGTGATGAACTAGCAAATAAAAGAATTTCAGTCTTAATAGAACTTAGGTCTGTAAGGGTCTCAAAGGACTTTTGAAAGGGGGACATCTGTTCTTAAATCAGTTGGATGCTTTTGAAAGTTTTACTGATAGACTAACACTTTGAAAAAGCCAGTTACTAACCAAATGGAAAAGTGAGACAGATTTGTCTGAATTTAATGTTGCATATTTCCTGCTGCAAATACAGTGAATGTCCTCATTAAAGTGCCCACAAAACCTCAGCTAATAAGATACTGTCAGAAAACACTCATATAAATTAATCTGAAATTGTAGGTATGTCACTTATTCTGTTGTCTGGTTTAAAGAACAAACCCAATATATGTTCCATTAAACAAACTTAAACTGACAGTATACACCCAAGTGATGATGAACAATGTATAGATCAAAAATTGCACATGGAGATTATTTGTCACTTACTATGAATAATGAACTAAGTAGTAGAATTAGTCATTTATGAAAAGGCAGCCCACAAAAAGACCTAGAAACAAAATGTACCATAAATTGTTTTTGTCTGCTTGACTGAGGACTGACTTAAGGTCTAGCACTTCACTCGGGGTAGGAAGGGAGTGATTTCTGGGGCTGACGTTCCCAGCTGTCATCCCTGCTCCTTGCTCAGACGATACAAGGAGGAGGCAGAACAGGAGGTGCCGACTCGTCTCTCGGTGGCTCACAGCCTCAGAACTGCTTCAAATTCTTATCTTTTTTCATTTTTTATTCACTCTGTGAGCTCTGCACTATAACTCTGGTTCACAGACCCTGCTGGATTTAGCAGAGGCACACCGAGGAGGTTACTCGTTTCAGGGTGCCCCAGAAGGGACCCTAAATTAGATCGCTAAGATGTGTGTTTGATCTGCCTGTTTAGCAAGTGCCATGGTCTCACCAGATGGTACAAAGAAAAAAATGACATAAAATTTCAGTCCAATCTGACCTGGTATTTAGAACTTGAACACTTTGGTGGCTTGTGGTTAAACTAATAACTCCCTAGAATGTTGATGAAATTAACTCAATACTGAAATAACATTCTGTTTAAATTTGTTTGCAGCATGGATCTCATGTGCTGGCTAGATATTGAACAGTACAGAAAGATGCTCCACAAGGATAAAGAAAAAAAGGAAGAAAAATCTAAGGATATTAAAAACAAGTACTTAAACAAAAAATACTTCTTTGGACCCAACAGCCCAGCTACCAGAGAACAACAAGACAAGGTACCAGTTAGAAAATCATTCATAAAGAACACTTACGCATACTGAATGTGACTGAGATAAATCCATAAGCAGATTTACTCCAGCTTTTCCCCAAACTATGTCCTCAAATCTCACCTGTATTTTTGGCCAGAAATCTGCTTCTACTCTGGTTGTGGGGGGTCCCCTCCCTCCTGTTCAAGCCCTTCCTCCCCCGTCCTTATAGAACATATCTCTTAAACCCTGATCTGAGGCTGCAGCCAGAGCAAGTACAATACAGCTCAGAAAAAGTGTTAAAATGGCTTTCAGGCAGAATGACTTGTTCCAGCTTTCTATTTTAGTATGTCAGTAAAGCCACAGACAGCGAGTCTGAGCTGTGGTACTCCGATATATCTTGATACTTAGGAAATTTACTCGTTCAAGCTGCGGTATTATTTGCTGAAGTCTGTATTCTATTATAGGTAGGGACAAATGTAATCTGTTCCCTTTTATGAAAAGTACATGTGAGCCCTGGGTAAGCATGCATTAAATGCTTTGCTTACAGTTAAGCTCATGCTTTGCTAAATCAAGTATGTAGAGAGATAAAGGACTTTTGGTATACACAAAAGTTTATGTCACGTGTTATTGTATTTGGATTGCTTAGCTAATGCATTCAGGTGGAGGATGGGGACAAATCCTTCATGATCGACTTTCGTCAGCGGTTCTGCTAGAAGTTCAGCAATGTGTCCAGAGGAGATTAGAAAAACAATGGCTGCCATTGTTCCTGGCAGATGAACACCATGGGGCGGAGGGACAAGCAAAGGTAATTTTTTAACAACAGCAACACATCCAGGCATTGTTTTTTATTTGGCTCATAATTTACCATTGGGATAAAATGGTTCAGAGGAAAAGCAGCCCACAACTCACATCCAGTTTACATTGAAAGAGATGCTGTAGCATGTACAGGTTGAAGCATTTAGCTTGATAACTGTGAAGGCAGTTCCTCTGAAGGCTTAGTCTAGCTGACAGTATTATTGTTAGATCCTAAATCTGAAGGAGCTGGTGTTAGCTCTGCTGCCAGCCAGGCTGCCAGGGGAGTAAACTAATCTTTGCTGAGGTGCCGCACTCTCCATATGTCATTTTGTCCTAGCCATACACTTGCACACAGAAGAAATGCTGCTTTGTGTAAAGGATTTGCCCAAGGGGACAAGAACAGAGGCAAATGAGTGGGCTTCCCATGCAGTATTCTCTCTCTCTCTCATGCTGTTTGTATTCTCCCATCTGGAGCTGCAGTGCCTGTAGAAGTGGCTACAGGACTTGTGAAATTCTGCTGAGTGGGCAGGTTAACAGCTACAAGCCTTGTTCCAATTGGTTACTTCAGAAAGTTGCCAGAAAACTGGGAATGAGGAGCCTTTCACTCCTGCTGGCTCATTAGAAAGACTGGGGAATGGGCAGAGCTAACATCTGCCTTTTATGAGAGTGCCTCTGTGGCTGGGATCTGCATAGGGAGATCATCCTGCTGGTGACAGATGCAAAAAGACTTGGTTTTTTTGCACTTCCACAACTGCTCTGAAATGCGAGCTTCACAGCAGAAGGAAACTTGACAGTTCCACCAAGCAGACACATATGCACACTGTATTGATTCATAAAACTTGTTTTCTGTCATCTTTTTAACATCAAGAAGGTTGTCAGAAGTGCATACGAACTGGATCCTTTTCATTGTTTCAGAGCACTAAACAATCTGAAAAGTATAGGTTCTGAAAAGACAAATTGTAATTTTAGTAATGATTATGTTAATAAAAGCCAAATTCCATAACCCTCTGCCATTTTTTAGCTGAACTCTGTCTCCTTTACAAGCCCTAGCACAAGACCATGCAATAAGGCTAAGCTGCCTCCGGGTTTTGAAGCTACCTCATGCCTCTTCTCGCACCTGCTGCACTGCACTGGCAGGGAGAGTAGCCCATGCAGTTTGGAAAATACTGAATTCAACTCTAATAAACAGTTTACAGGAAAGACATACTTCTAATGAGCTTTTAGTCTTTTCCTAACTCCATTTATGTCTGACTGCTCTTTCCTCTTTCTTATTGCAAATTCAGAGGATGAAAAGGTCCTTTGAAGAAAGTATTTTAGAAGAAATGAAACCAGATGACATTCTCCACTTGGCTTCATATTTCACAGTGACCAAACACTGTGGGCATGCTATGTAGTCCTTTTTCAGAAAATCTGCCCTTGATTTGAGGTATATTTTTGCTACAAAGAAGCTGCAGGATCAAGTCTGTAATTCTGATACACTGTCCAAAGGAACTGAAAACATTTCATACCAAAAAAAAAAAGCCCCAAACTTGTTCCTAACATAAGTGGTCCCTCAGAACATTATGGGTAAGGTAAACCAGTGGAAGAGCACAGTTTGACTGCTATTGCCTCTTGTCTTCTCTAACACCGCAGTCTTAATCAGCACGTGCTCATTTGTAGCTGAACAAGGGATGGCATTCAGTGTGGGTCCACAACAAATTTCAGATATAAAGATCCATATGAAGACATTGCAACTATTCTACCACTATGATTTCAATCATTAGAGGGCTGAACATGAAACAAGAAGAGTTAAAAAACGCAATGATAATCTTTTGTTCAATCATAGGTAAGGGACATAACTGAAGATCTTTCACGCCAAAAACAGAAGACAACTAGGATATGGAAGGCAAGTGAAGTTTACTGTGTCTCTTGTGTCTGCAGTTTTACTGTCTTTTTCATTTGGACCTTACGCATCCTTCACAATTTCCCTGCTGACAGTGTAAGGCCCAAATCTAATGCTGTCAAAAGCAAGCAAGATTGTATTGGCTACAGTGGATGGTTTACTCACATTACTGGTGAACTTAGCTCCCTGCTGGATGTCCACAGTAAATTTCTCTCCCTTCCTGGCTGGAGAGGTCATACTTGAAAAAAACGTCTCTTGTCCTGGGCTTTGGAGCACTCAACTTTCCTCAAACTGATATTGTACTGTTAATTCACATTTATCTGTATTTTGCATGCAGTGGACTTATTGGGACAAGCTGTTCATTCCAGCATCTGGTAGTTTATTTATTATTGCAAGTGGATTACGTGCAGACACAAAAGGGAATGTGAAGTATGCAGTGGAGTGGGCAGGTTTAATCATATCTCACAGTATCTGTTTCATTTAGAATTGTATTTTAATCTTACAGCACTGAGATAATATCAATTTTAAACATCTTAAACCTTTGTAATAATACATTTCATCAGATGTTTGCCAGTTTTTTCCTCTTGAAGAGCAGTGAACTCTTTGCGATTGCCAACATACAAGTTGTGTACATTTATTCAGTTGAACTTTTATTGTCTGTTGAAATCAAACTGGAGACCCGGTCACCAATTATCCGTGCAAACCATTAGCTCGAAAGGGATCCAGAGTGCATGTGGGTTCTGTTAACTGAGTTTTCTCTTTGCCTGTTTGTCGGGAAGATGGTTATTTTCCATGTTCTGCTTCAAGGTTGTTGACCCATAAAATAAGCAGTGTTTGTATATTAGTATAGGGATGGGAGCAATGTTTTGTTCTTCCCTTCATGAATGTGACCCAGAAGTAATTTTTCCCAAAAGTTGCCTAAATCCTGGTTAGAGGGGATAGAACATGTTTGGAGAATTGGAGGAGGGCTGAGAAGATCCCACCTTACCAACTTGAGCTGACTTTATTTTAACCAAAGGACCCTTTGGACAGCTACCACCCACCCTCTCGCAAGGGTCGGCTCTCATCCCTGGCAGGCTTTGCAGCAGGACACTAAGCATAACGCCTGTGTTTAAGAGAAGCTGCAGAAAGACCTTCAGTTTAGAACCAGGTTAGATTTCCAGGACTGTCTGCAACGACTAAAAATGTTTCTGTCCCATGCTGACCATTGAATAGCACTCCATCCCTCGAGAACTTCAAGAGTTTTATACCACTGTTAGAAGATAGTTTTCATTCATCCATCAGATAACAAAAGGGGGGTGTTTGGCTTGCTCCTCAGTGACAGCACAAGAACTGTTTGTTCAGGAAGGCAGGCCAGCCTGAACTTCATTTCAAACAAACTGTCCCTGCATAAGCCCTCTT